GCAATGATGTGGATGGAACTAGAGTGTATTATGCTAAGCAAAATAAGTCAGTCATTGAAAGATAAATACCATATGATTTCACTTATATGTGGAGTTCAAGAAGCAAAACAGATGCATGCAGGGGAAGTGAAGGAAAACTAAAATAAGACAAAAACAGAGAGGGGCACCTGGGTGGTTCAATCAGTTAAGTATCTGACTCTTGATTTCAGGTCAGGTCATGATCTTATGTTTTGTGAGATCTAGTCCCACACTGGGCTCTGTGCTGGAAGTGCAGGGCCTGCTGGGATTCTCTTCATTCTCTCTCTGCCCCTTCCCTATTCACTTGCTCTCTCAAAATAAGTAACATTTAAAAACATATAAAAGAAGAGAGGGAGGCAAACAATAAGATATTCTTAACTATAACATACAAACTGAGGGTTGCTGGAGCAGAGATGGGTGGGGAGATTGGATACATGGGTGATGGTCATTAAGGAGGGCACTCAAGTGATAAGCAGTGGGTGTTACATATAAATGATAATCACTAAGTTCTACTCCTGAAATCAATACTATACTATATGTTAACTAACTTGAATTTAAATAAAATCTAGGAAGAAAAACAAGAAATGACATGATATGACTGTATGTGTATAAATCCTAAGAAATCTACAAAAGAATGCTATAACCAATTATTAAATTCAGTAATGTGTCAGGATTCAATGTCAATATACAAAAACAACTGTATTTATATCTCATAGCAACAAGCTATAAGACATTGAAATAAAAATACTCTTTACAATAGCAGTAAAAAAAAAACACTAGAAATTTATTTTTAAAAATAAGGTCAAGATTTATACAATAAAAACTAGAAACAATGCTATAAAATAATTATAGAAAGTTTAGATAGATTGATATTTGTTCATGGAGTGAAAACCTACAAATTTCCACAAAACTGATCTATAGATTTAATTTAATCCTAATCAAAATGCTGACCAGGTTTTTGTTGGTTGTTTAGTTGTTTGGCAGAGCTTAGCAAGCTGATTTTTCCCCTATTTTTACTGAGAAAATATGGATATACATATTTCATGAGTTTAAGTTCATAAGTTTATTTAAATACATACCTAAAAAGTTTAAGGAGCATATAGCATGATGTTATATATGTTGTGAAATGATTACAAATGGGTTAATATCCATCATCTCATACAGTTACAATAAAGAGAAGAAAAAAAATTACTCCTTGTGATGAGATACATTTATATAGAAATACAAATCACCTAAAATAGCCAAAGTCGTTTTAAGAATGAATATGGAGCACTAACACTACCTGCTTTCAAGACTTGCTACGAAGCTACATTAATCAAGACAGTATGAGAAATATTTTTTATTTATGTTTAGTGATAGACATTAGTTACACTTATTGTGATCCTTTTGCAATACAAATAGCTAATAATTATGTTGTACATCTGAAACGAATATGTCATATGTTAATTATATCTTAATTAAAAACAACAACAACAAATAAAGCATGGTATTTGTATATGAATACTCATATAGATCACTGGAACACAATGTCTCTAAAAATAGACCTACATGTATATGATTGACTTTTGACCAATCTGTCCAAGTAATTCAATGGAGGAATTAAGTTTTTTCAAGTGGTGCTGAAACAACAAAACATCCATATAGAAACAAATTAACCTCAACTGTTATTTTGCACCATATATAAAAACTACCTCAAAAAAAAATCACAGACTTAAATATAATAAACAAAACTACACAACTTCCTTAAGAAAACGGGAGAAAATCTTTGTGACCCTGGGTTAAGCAATGTTTTCTTAAATAAGACCCAAAGCATATGAACCATTAAAGTGATAAACTGAATTTCAAAAAAATTAAAAGGTTATGCTTTTCAAGACACTGTCAAAAAATGAAAGGATATGCCACAATATGGGAGAAAATCTTTGCAAACCACATATCTAACAACTTATAAATAATAAATTAAAAATCTCTCAAAACTGAACAATAAGAAAACAATCTACCTAGAAGTGGGTAAAAGACATGGACAGATATTTCGCCAAAGATTTTATACAAATGCCAAATAAGCACATGAAAAAAATGGTTAACATCTTTAGTTATTAGGAAAATACAAATTAAAATCACAATGAAATACCACTACACACCTATTAGAATGGCTAAAAAAGAAAAAGGAAAAAAAAAAGAATGAAAAGAAAAGAGAAAAAACACACCTACCATGAAAAACAGTAATCCCACAGATGGAAACAATCTAGTAAACAACCCAGATATCCTGGAATGCACTGGTGAATGTGTGGTGCATTCATACAATGGAATATTACTAAATAATAAAAAAGAGCCAACTACTGATACATGCAACAACATGGATGATATAAAAGGCATTTCATTAAGTAAAAGAAGCTAAACACAAATATTATTACCTGTATTATTCCATTTATATGACAGTGTAGAAATAGTAAAATTACTGTAACAGAAAACAGATCAGTATTTAACAAGGGCAAGGTGTGGGAACAGAGACTGGCTACAAAGGGAGAATAAGAGAACTTGATAAAGTGATAGAAATGTTTTATATCTTGATTATGATGGTAGTTACACTGCCATATACATTTATTAAAATTCACCAAATTATACACTAAACATTGGTGAATCTTAGTGTATATAAATTACATCTAAACAAACCTGATTTTAAAAAATGACATTGTAGTGGTGTCTCAGTGGCTCAGTCAGTTAAGTATCTGATTCTTGGTTTTGGCTCAGGTCACAATTTCATGACTTCAAGCCCTGTGTTGGGCTCTGCACTAACAGTGGAGAACCTGTTTGGGATTCTAGGTCTCCCGCTCTCTGTCTGCCCCTCCCCCACTCACACTGTCTCTGTCTCTCTCAAAATTAATACAGTTTTTTTTAAATGACACTGTAGAACTGAATAATATAAAAGTAAACAAAACAATTTATTAAAAAAAGTCAAACTAACATGTAAAAATGATAATATACTATGAGTAGGTAGAGTTTATCTCAGTAATACAATTTCATTTAACATACAAAGATTAGTCAATCCAAATTAACCACTTTAATAGATTGTAGGGTAAAAGCATGTGATCATTTCAACAGATCAGAGGTACCTTTTGTCCCCCACAGGATATTTGACAATGTCTGCAGACATTGTTGGTTGTCATAACTCAATGGTGTTAGGGTGCTACTGGCATTCAGTGGGTAAAGAACAGGAATCCTGGTAAACATACTACAATGCACAGGGCAGGCTCCAAATGAGAACCACTATTCTATATTCTACTTTCTCAAGCAACACAGTACTTATGATATCCATACATATTGCTATAAGATACATACATCAAGTCTGTTGTTTGTTGCTATAATGTACATACCTCTAGTCTGTTGCTTCTTGCAACACAATATCCCACAGTAAGCATCCTCTATATGTTTCTTATTAATCCCCTGGTGGTGAATATCTAATTTGCTTCCAGTTGCACTCTACCACATACAACACTGCCATTCAGACAACAGCCTTGCAAATACTCCAACCTCTATAAGAATTTCCCTGGGATATATATTCAGGAATGGAAACACTATATCATACATATATTTAACTTTAATAATTACTGCCCAAGTGTTTCCTGAATGGTTGAACTATTTAAAATACTGTGCAGAAAAAATGTTAACTTATCAGACCTGAGATTGCTATTCTTGGAAAGACCTATTTGGATGGTTGGATCTTGGCTGATATCTTGGAACTTGGATATCAAGAGGGCTGTCATTATTCCCTGTCAAGAGTGTCTCACTGTGCCTAAACTGTTTTTATAAACAAAGTGGTTTATACTGAATACCAGCTTCCATTTTGGAAGTCTGAAACTTTGGTACAGTCTAGACAGAACATGCATACATGACCAGTCCCCTATAAAAATCTTGGGTACTGAGTCCCTAATGAGTTTCTCTGGTAGAAAACATTCACATGTATTGTCACAACTCATTGCAAGGGGAATTAAGTGTATCTTGTATGACTTTATTGGGAGAGGTCTCTTGGAAGCTTGTACTTAGAATCCTCCAGACTTTGCCTCATGTGCTTTCTCTTTTTGTTGATTTTGCCTTGCATCTTTTATCTATATAAATCACAACCACGAGTATGAGTATATGCTGGTTCGTTCTAGAAAATCACTGAATTTAAGAGTGGTCTTAAGGATAATCCCCCAGTGAATATTACATAAGCAAAGCAGGAGAATTTACAAAATGATTTACTTCTAACTGCACACTTTTATGTGTCATTTGAATTTTGAATCAAGTTATTACCTCTTTAGAAATCAATACTTTATTTTAAAAAAATGAGAAGAGTTGTCAAAACAACTAAGTCTCCTGTGAATGAGCCCCCAGAGATGTTAGAGAACCACAGAAGTATACAAAGAAGTCTTCTTATATTCCAGATGAGGAAGCCCAAAGAAGTTAAGGGACTTACCTAAAGTTACCGAGACTGTCATTACAGACACAGGAACCAAATCCTTGCTTTCTTATTTCCTATGCTCCTTCCTCTAAGTCACATGGCCCCTTTTCCTACACTTCTTACTTCCTCTACTTTACAGTACCCTACCTCTCTAAATGCCTTGAAGGGGCCTACTTTCATGCTGACTGTATTTCTCAGATTCCTGAATTTTCCATGCAGTGAATATGTTCAGTTTCTTCCAAAACAGTGGGTCCCACAGAAACTGAACCCAACAGGTACAGAAAAAAAAAGATGAGGAATATCCTACTTGTAGCTGTCTTGAAGGAGAGAAAAAAAGTGAAATGAATGGTAAAGGAAGAGTCCTAGGCCAAATCACAGTACCCTTCCTAAATCCTCATACCCTGGTAATGGGGTTACATCAGGGTTACAAGAAACTATCCCCCACCATAAGACAAAGAAACTGAGCAGGACCAGAAAATTCAGACACTCCTTCCATTTCTTCCTAACATTTCTCAAATCCCTTCCACAGGGGGAAGATGCTTACGTGCTCCAGGAAGCAGGGTCCTATCTCACTGAGGTGGGGGTCATCATTGTTGTACTGTTTCTCCAGGTCTCTCACGAAGCCCATCTGAAACCTGTATATATCTTCAATGTTCCCAAAGATCACCTTCAGTTGCTCATCGTTGAACATGTCTCTTCTCTTTCGGCATTGTTTCAGGTAGCCCTGCACACAAAGGAAAAGCCCAGGATGAGGATTTTCCTGATTCCTTGAGGGCTTTACCATTTATTAAGCACTAAGAAGGTTCATTACTGTTCTATGAAATAGACAGGGAATAATCATTTCCATTTTTCTTATGAGGAGATAAATTGTGTTTGAGAGAAGGAAGTCACTTAGGAAAGTTGGGTCACAAGGAAAGTTCTTCAGAGTGCAGAATCCAGAGTATAGAGCTTTTCCCACCATTCTAACCCCAAAAGTCATAGGGCCCTTTCTCAGAACGTGATTAAGCACAAATACTTTTACTGTTTTAGTGGTTATTGATTTAGCATTCACATCTCAAAAGTCTTATTTTTATAGGACCAATGCAAAATGTATTAATAAAATTGAGAACGATTTAGAAACAGAGGCCAAGTCAGGAAAATTTCCCAACAGGGAATAATAATTAACAAAACCAAACCATTCCTTAAAAAGAATGTCTTAGCCACCTAAGACAGCTGACCAGGAGAGATCATCTGGATGAGCTTCGCCAATAAGTCCACAAATGCCCAGGCATGGTGTTTTTAACAGAGTACGTGTTCAGCACACATTCATGAATAAATAGATGAATTAATATAGTTAGTTATTGATGAAAGAATAGAATCAATGAAAAATATCTGATAAGAGAGCACTATAGCAACACAACCAGCCTCAGGGCACATTGTAAGTCAAAGTAAACTGAAAGAAAAAAAGGAAAAATAAGAAGCCACCATCTTCCATTCTGAACCAACTGGTGTAAAATTTTACTGGCGACTGTTTTCTTCAGAAATCACTGGCATTAAATGTTCTTGGTGAGACTAAATTATGGTCATTTGCGTTCATCTAAAAGCTAAAAGTGATTTTTAAAATTTTTTTGAATGTTTTATTTCAGAGAGAGAGAGAAACAGCGTGAGCAGGGGAGGGTCAGAGAGAGAGGGAAACACAGAATCTGAAACAGACTCCAGGCTCTGAGCTAACTGTCAGCACAGAGGCCGGCGAAGGGCTCGAACTCATGAACCATGAGATCATGACCTGAGCCAAAGTTGGAGGCTTAACCGACTGAGCCACCCAGGCGCCCCTAAATGTGATTTTTGTAACACCTTAAGTGTTGAGCTCCTAATGAGGAATGTTGTAGTCACTAACAACTGTCTACACATCCACTTTGTCTCCCTTTAACACAGCTTCCAATAAAACCATTCATCTAGGCATATTCTAGGAAGATTCTCAACCCTGGCTTCAGTACCTTTTACAACCTCTAACAAAATCTCACTTCTGTAATCACTTCTCACCCTCCAATTTAGCCATTAAATGCTGTCATTCAACAATTTGCAAGTTAATAGTCTTTTTCTGTGTTGACATTTATTTAACTAATGGCTGTTGCTCTCTTTGACTGACATGCTCAAGTTGTCCTGCATTCATTCATATCCAAATCTGGACCAGGAAGAAGATGTCCTCTATTTCCAGAATACTCTTTTAGTTCCAATCCCTTTACTGAAGTAGCTCCCAAACTTCTGCCTCTCTAGAAATTATTCCTTAACTAAGAGATAGAGGAATAAACTCCCTGCCTAATATGTAAGTCCCAGCGTTTGTTTGCTTCTGTCTCTCTCCCTTTCCACCACCATCTCTCTTCCTCTCTCTCACCCTATCACCTTTGGAAGTGTCTTAGCTATAGTGGAGAAGGAAAAGCAGTTCCCTTCCAACATTCATCAAAGGGGCAGCAATTTCCTCCCAATTTTTCTCTTTAAGGTAGGCCTCTGAGCACACCTGGAAAAAATGCTAACAATGTCATATCAGCATGTCATTTCTGGATAAGTAGTAGGTATTGGTGAGCAACCACTTTGCGAGACATAAGAAACCAGACTGGACAGCTCATTCAACCCCTGAGGAGCCAGTTCAGAAAATACTTAATAGTTTTGTTCATTGCTCCTATTTGAAAGTTCTCAGGGAAATAACAAATAAGGATCACATCCCCAAAGTGCAGCAGGGATCCTAGATATCAGCATCAGTGTGGAATATAACAGAAATGAAAAAGAAGGGGGAAAAAGTGGGTTCTGGGAAAGAAAGAACTGATAGAGATATCAGTACAGCTTGCTAATTCCCTAAATAAGCAATTTACCGCCATTATCAAGGACATAATTTTCTATTATATATGTTGTAGCAAGGGACTATTAGCTATTTAGGAAGAGAAACGTAACTGTTCATAGGATGGTGGGACCTTAGAGTGTTTTGTCAACTGTTTTTCTTAAAAGTGTATATATACCACATCTTCTTTATCTATTTATCAGTCTATGGACATTTGGGCTCTTTCTATAATTTGGATATTGTTGATAGTGCTGCTATAAACATTGGGTAGTATGTGCCCCTTTGAATCAGCATTTTTCTATCTTTGGATAAATACCTAGTAGTGCAATTGCTGGGTCATATTGGCAATCAAAAGGAATAAAATTTTGTCATTTTCAATGACCTGGATGGAACTAGAGTGTATTATGCTAAGTGAAATAAGTGAGAGAAAGACAAATATATTATTTCACACATATGTGGAATTTAAGAAACACAACAGATAAAGAGAAGGGAAGGGAGAAAAGATAAAAACAGAAAAAGAGGCAAAGTATAAGAGACTCTTAGAGAGAGTCAGTAAGAGACTCATACAGAGAACAAACTGAGGGTTGCTGGAGGGGTGGTAGGTGGGAAGATGGACTAAATGGGTGATGGGCGTTAAGGAAGGCACTTGAGATGAGCACTGGATATTATATATAAATGGTGAATCACTCTGTTCTACTCCTGAAACCAATCTTGCACTGTATGTTAACTAACTTGAATTTAAATAAATAGATTTTTTAAAACTAAATTTTAGATATAAATATGTTTTGATGCATTTAGCTTGATGGAATGTCATATAGCTATTCTATGATGATTAGAAAGATTGACTAAAAAGGAGAGGGAAGATGGCGGCAGAGTAGGAGGACCGTAGGATCCTCTCACCTCATGAACACAATTAGATAAGTATCAAATCATCCTAGAGACACCCAGAAATCAATCTGAAGACTGACAAAACAAACTCCACAACTAAAGGCAAAGAGAAGACACATCAAAGAAGGTAGGAAGTATGGAGACATGGCTTAGGGGAAAACCAGACTGACGGTGCTGTGGAAAGGAGGGAACTATGGTTGCAGAAAAAGGTGAGAGAGAGTAGAGCACACAGGAGAATGCACAAGGAGAATGTTTCCCCAAAGACGTTGGCTTGGAAAATGAGAGGGGCTTAATTTTGTGAGTTCTTGCAACCACTGGGACTTAAAGCCTGGAGTTTTAAAAGGTCAGCAGGTTTGACTAGGATAGAGCCTGGAGAGCACTGCCATGCTCCTGGAGAGATGGCAGGCAAACAAACAACCCAGGGCAGAAGGCATGAAAACACTGATTTGAAGAACGCCTGGGGCACACAGTGGGGAGATTATTCCCTTTTCTTGGAGTTTTCAGAGAGGCAGAATTCACTGAGACACCTTTCCAGGAAGAAAGGAGCTGGCTGGCACCATTTCACTCCTCTGCACCACATGCCAGAGGCAACACAGCACTGACACTGGCTGCTGAACTTGATTACACCAAGTCTCTGACCCATGTGCTCTGGTGAGACTGCCCTTCTTGGTGAAACTTGCCTCGGTCCCAGTGCAGCAGGCCCCTCTCCCAGAAGACGAGCACAAAACACTGCCCAGACCACATCCCTAAAGCCTGGAGTTTTATTTTGTGTTATGGTTTTGGTATCTGTTTGTTTTTTTTTTTTCAATTTTTATTTACATTCTAGTTAGTTAACATATAGTGTAATATTAATTTCAGGAGTAGAATTTAGTGAATCATCACTTACATGTAACACCCTGTCCTCAACATAACTAATATCCTCCTTAATGCCATTGCCCATTTATCCATTCCCCCACACATATCCCACCAACAAACCTCAGTTTGTTCTCCATTGTTAAATGTCTCTTATGGTTTATTTCACTCTTTTATTTTCCCCTTCCTCTATGTTCATCTGTTTTGTTTCTTTAATTCCACATATGAATGTAATCATATGGCATTTGTCTTTCTCTAACTTATTTTCCTTATCAGAATATACTCCATTCATGCTGTTGCAAATGGCAAAATGTCATTGTATTTGATGGATGAGTAATAGTCCATTGTATATACATACCTCTTTTTTTTTTTTTAAATGTTTTATTTATTTCTAGGAGAGAGAGAGAGAGACAGCGTGAGCAGGGGAGGGTCAGAGAGAGAGGGAGTCACAGACTCTGAAACAGGCTCCAGGCTCTGAGCTGGCAGTCAGCACAGAGCCCGACGCGGGGCTCGAACCCACGAACCGCGAGATCATGACCTAAGTGAAAGTCGGACGCTTAACCGACTAAGCCACCCAGGCGCCCCTACATACCTCTTAATCTTTATCCATTCATCAGTTGATAGAAACTTGGGCTCTTTCCATACTTTGAATATTGTTTATTATGTTGCTATAAATATCAGGGTGCATATGCACTTTCAAATAAGTATTTTTGTATCCATTAGGTAAATACCTAGCAGTGCAATTCCTAGGTCATAGGGTAATTTAATTTTAACTTTTTCAGGAACCTCCACACTATTTTCCAGAGTGGCTGCATCAGTTTGCATTCCCAATAACAGTGGAAGAGGGTTCTCTTTTCTCCACATCCTTGCCAATATCTGTTGTTTCCTGTGTTGTTAATTTTAGCCATTCTGACACATGTGAGGTAGTATCTCATTGTGGTTTTGATATGTATTTCCCTAATGAAGAGTGATGTTAAGCATCTTTTCATGTGTCATCTGGATGTCTTCTTTGAAAAAAAAATGTCTATTCAAGATAAAAAGCTTGTGCACAGCAAAGGAAACAATCAACAAAACTAGAAGGCATTCCTTGGAATGGGAGAAGATATTTGCAAATAAAATATCTGATAAAGGGTTACTATCCACAATCTATAAAAAATTATCAAACTCAA